GCCAATTTGAAATTGAAAACTTAAACCAATTTGAGTGTCATCAGATATCAGAGCTCTGATGGTCTAAATCATGTCTTATTATTTCCAGCCATTCCTGTCATCCTCACAGAACTGGGCAAGTGATCTTCTGTGTCTGTGAGATCACAGATCCACCAATATAAACACTAATGAATTATATTTGAGTGCACTGTTGTTCTGCAGTTTACTGTACTCTACTGTAATGAACTATATTACACTGGAGTGTATCCTTCTTTTATTTTCTTCAGTAATACACACAGGTATTTGATCAGTTGTGAAGATTTACAAAAGCAATAGAAGCTACAGAGAAAGAGAAATTCCTGTACAAAAATGTAAATAAGGAGATCTAACTCAGTTTTGACTTCCTCTCAGTTTGGTCCCAATGCACATTTTCAAAGTTAATATTTTAATGAAAACTTTAGTTTTAGACCACTTGCATTGGTGAAAAAAACTAACTGGCAGCAGAAACTATAAAGTAAGAAATGCTGCTTCTATGAATATCAGTCTTCTTTGCTCTCTTCTAATGTGTCAAAGACACTCTGAAAAGGCTCGTTTCAGACTGACAACAGGCCATCAGCCCCTTGTCCTGAGTGAACAGTCTGTATCTTGACACTGTGGGGGTCCTGCCTGTGTCCTGCTGTTACACACAGTATCTGTAGTGCTGGAACAACACAGCTGGTTGTTACAGTACCAGCATCCTGCCACCAGAGGGCACCCAAGCCGATTGCATGTACCTCATCTGCTCTGGGGAGGAGTAGGTTAATCAGACCTCATTAACCCATCACCAGGCCTCCCCTCCAGCCTACTTGAACCCTGCTCTGTGTCCACAGTGCTCAGTAGTGGGTTAGACCTTGAGAGCTACATGGTTCTTTCATTGTGATATCTTCCCAATGTTCCTTCTAGGTTTTGGGATTTTTGGCTTGCTTTTTCCACCTCGATTTCTGGGTTTAGACTTTAAGACCTTGACCTTGGATTTCACTGTTTGCATGTGATCATACCTGCGTAGGGTCCACTTCTTTGAAAATAGATGCTGAGCAGTGTGACACTGCTCTGACTGCTTGTGTTCAGCCAGCTGGGCCCCTGTCTGTGTCAGACTGATACTGTCTGTGTGTCCTGGATCAGGCCTTGTGTGGAGATGTGCTCGTCATGGTGTGTGACTGGTCATTTCTCCCTGTCCAGCTGATGTCCAGAGATAAGGCAGTGTGACAAGTGAGCAGGACATCTCTATGCCTCTGTCAGTGATACTGGTCACTGTGGATCCAGGTCACTCAGTCAGTGATACTGGTCACTGTGGGTACAGGACCCTTAGTCTGTGTGAGCCCACACTTTCACTCATCTGACTGAACAATGAACAGAATTCTGTATCAATGGATGGTTATTTAAATATGAAATATCCCTCAGTGCTGGAGACTGCAGACTGTGTTTATTTCTTATCTCTCTCAATGGCTCAAGCACCAGACTCCAGGGTGTCCTGTGATGTGTCTGTGTGTCTTATTGCCTTGTGCTGCTCAGTCTTATTGAGTGAGACTCCAGTCTTACAGCCACTGCTGCTCACACTCACTGACACTCTGATCCACACTGCAGTGGAGACTGGGGATCCTGAAATGAACTGACTGCAGACTGTAGAATAAACTCTGGTATAATAACAGGTAAGAAGCAATAATGGTCTTTAATACAATAAATATCTACTCTCTCTCTTTGCAGATGCTGTGAAGCGAGCTCCTATCCCTAAATCACGTATGTACACTGTATGAAACTCTGCTGACTGACGGCACTGATTTTACTGACATTATATTACCGGTGGGTGACTGGGATTAACAGAGTCTGTGTCTCTGTGCTCCAGTGTGTGACTGTGATTAACAGTGTCTATATCTCTGTGTTTCAGAATGGCAGTGGCTGTGCAGTTCTGCAGGTAGGTCTGTTTCCTGTTGAAGATACAGACACAGTACTGCTATTGAGCACTAATATTAATGAGCATTGATTCCTGGTGAGAAATGCACTGATAAAAGAGTAAGGAGAATGAGAATCAGTATAAACTGAGTTTCACTGCAGGTTCACATCATATTCCTGTGGAAAACCTCATCTCCTTTCACAGTGATTATGTTGTCATTCAGCCAGTGGAATCATGTCTGTGCTGGACTGACTGAGCTATAAAATCACACAACCTAAATCAAAACCTTTTTACTATGAAAAGCTCACAGTCTGTAGGAGACTACATGTCATGGGTACAAATCATGAGTCCTACACAGTGGAGCATTTTAATAAACAGAGATGA